TTCTTTGTTCTGAAATGGTATATAATCATGCTGCAAACCACACTTCTCCAGAACACTTTCTCCCTTTGGAGACTGCCTACCTGGCTCAAGTAAAATTCACCATATCTCTCCAATCTCTAGAATGATTATTGGTTATTTGCATTGACGGTGGGGGGTGGTGCTGGAATGGGTATTATCATGCAGATTACCTCTGATTCCTCTGGAGGATGAAGAGGGCCTGGATGACAGATTACCTTACTGGTGCTTGACCAGAAAATTCCAGACTAGTCTATTATGATGACATTTCTGAGAGAGGTTGAAACTGCAATTAGATCAGGCATTAAATCTAGTTTTGGTATCATTGGCTTTAGCACAAGTGATGACATTTTGGGCCTGTGCTTTTCTTTTTAACAATATTTTACCACAATTTTTTTTAAAAAAAGGTTTTCAAACAGCTAACAGGTGAGGGAGGCCTTGCCCTGCAGAGATCAGGGAGTGGACCAGGTCTAGAGAGGCACTCTGCTCCTGGAGCCACTTTTTCCCTCCATAGAGGCATTTGCTGATCCAAGGAGGCCTCTGAGAGGCTGAACTGTGCCTTTGGCAGGCTTATTGGGCTCGGAGAACAACAGTGAAACACCCCACTCTGAGCTGGGTTAAAATCCTATAACCACTAAAGTATTAAATCAACAATTAAAAGCCTTCTCACAAAGAAAACTCTAGGTGCAGATGGTTTCAATGGTGGATTTGATCACAGATTTAAAGAATAAATAACTTTAATATTATGCAAAGATTTCCAGAGAATAAAAAAAGAGGAAATGTCTCATGATTCATTTTATGGCTACAATAACTTGATACCCAAATCTGAAAAGATCAAAATGAGAAAAGAAAAGTATAGCCCAATCTCCCTCATGGACATAGATGCAAAGATCCTACACAAAATATTAGCAAACTGAATCAAGTCATATATATGAAGGATAATACATCATGGCCAGCTTGACTTAATTATAGGAATGCAAAATTGGTTTAAAACTAGAAAAGCAATATAACTTTCTACATTATAAAGGAAAGAAATCATGTAATTACTATAATAGAGGAAGAAATGTTTGATAAAATTCAACATTCATTCATGAATTAAAAAAAAAAAATCTCCTGGTAAACTAAGAATAAAAGGTAATCTCCTTAACCTGATCAAAAGTATCCACAAAATACTTCAGCAAACATTATATTGGTAGTTACATGCCAAATGCCTTCCCTTTGGGATCAAGAATAGGACCCATATACCTAATATCACCACTTCTATCCAACATTATATTGGATGTCCTAGATAACACAAGAAGGCAAGAAAAACATATTAAAAGTATAGAGATTAAAACAAGGACAGCTATGTACAGCATGGTAATCATAGCTAATAATACTTTATTCTATACATGAAGTTTGCTAAGAGTAGATCTTGAGTGTTTTCACCACACAAAAAAAATAGTATTAAAAAAAAAACAAAGATTTTTTTTAAAAAAAGGAAAAAATAGCAGTAACAGATGATATAATTGTGTATGTAGAAAACACAAAAGAATTTATAGATAAAGTGGTAGAATCAATAATTTTTAAAAGCTAAGTTCCTGAAATGATTGTTACAGAAGAAGCAGATAACCTGACATGTTTTAAAAAAATATTTACCAGTAAGCAGAACATGTAAATGTTAAGGTCCAAAATAATAAACAATTAAAATAATCACAGGTCATTATTGTTATAATATATTGTTGAAATTTTATTATTATACCTAGAGAATACATTTTTAAAAATTAGCAGCAACAATGATAACTAAGAAAGCAACTAGCCAAGCCCAGACCAAACCCTGAGCTGATGAGACTATATCCCATAATCTATGTCATGAAGACAAGTGTTCCTTTGACCATGACAAACTCCAGATGGTGTTGCTACAGTTCACCAGGTCATTGAAGCACAGTGTTATAACTCCTTGAGAAATCTGAGAAGCAACTATTCATCCTATAAAGATTTATTGTTCCAGGCTTTATATGAAATATTTGGGGTGCCACAGAAAATAAGATTGATGGGACGCCTCACAACACAAAGCTTACCACAAAGGCAAACATAAAACTCAAGAGTAAACTGAAAAACATAATCTGGATCTGATGATCCTAGGCCTTTCTAGGGGAAACAATATTTTTTTATTGGGAGAGAGAAAGAAATTGAGACAAAGACGAACGGTCTCATGTGAATATGTGTCAGAAGTCACAGCACTGAATTTGTCCTATTTTATCCCTATCAATTAGTGTTGTGTTCCAGGTAACAATTAACTTCAAAATCTTTGTGGATGAACCCGACAAAGTTTGTTTCTCAATCATGCCATAGCCCATATGGCAGGGGTGCTCTGTTCCACATACTCAAGGATCCATGTTGACAGAGGCCGTACCTCTTGAACCTGGATCCCAACACCTCTGAAGTCATGCAGCAGGAAAGAGAGGGATGGAGGAGGCACATAGGCTCTTAACTGAATCAGACCAGAAGTGACAATGCTTCTGCTCACAGCCCCAACCTAAGTGCTGGTAAGGCTGAGAAATGTAAGGGAACATATGGTGATCCCTACTGTCTCTAGCATAGTTTCTTTAATTACAAGCAACAGAAATCAACTAGCTTACTTACGCAAAATGGAAAATTTATTGGAAAAATATGAGGGAGATCATAGGAAAATGAAAAGGAAGATGAAAGAGCCATCTTTGAACAGATAGGACTCAGGAGGTCTCAGGGGTTCTTAAGATCAGGAAGTCTTTTGAGTATCTCTCCTGGGCACTACCACTGGAATGAATGGCCTCCATTGTTCAATCCTTGGATATTTCCACTCCAAAGTCCCAGGGACTAAGTGGGAAAAGAAAAGGTCTGGTGGAAGGCTCCTCCAACGATCCCCCAATTCAATATAGGCACAAAGGCAGGGCCCCTGGATTTACTGCCCCAAACCAAGATCACATACAGTGGGATGAAGTAATTCCCCAACGGGAAATCACAGCACTGTTAGAAATGGAGAATGGACATAAGGTTACCATTCTGCTGATATTCTCACTTTCATCTTTATCCTAGTGGTTCCACTTATTTCTCCCACCCTAACTAAGCCCAGAATCTCAGGGACCCTGCCGTGAGGACTGATCGCTTAATTTGAAGCAAGAAAGCTGGGCTGGAGATCTTTCCTGAGGATATTTTAATTTAAGTGAAGCCATGAGCTTTGAATCGGTCAGATGAAGAAGCCCATCTCATGCCCAGAATGTTAGTGGGTCACGTGTTTCCCACACTAGCCAGATAACTAGTGGAGGCTCTAGGAAATTTGAATGCTAATCCACAGAAGAGGGTCTCTGGGAAACAATGGTGACAGAGTCACACCTTCTGAGTCAGAAAGACCTGTGCAAATCCTGGATATTCCATTTACGAGTTGTGCAACCTTTGGCAATTTGTGTCTCAGCCTCAGTTTTGTCATCTATAAAATGAGCATAACAATGCCAAACTTCATGTAGCTGTTAAGAATATTAAATTACAATATATGTGAACAACAAGTGTGGTGCCTAGAAGGTGTTCAATAAAGGTAATTGCTATTATTATTGCTCATTTTATTAGTGGTATTCTCTCTCTTCCTTCCTGAGCCCACATTCTTTGCTTACCTCATGAGCTCATGAGAAGGAGATGTTGGCCCTAAGAGTTCTTCATGCTTTTGTTCCTGAAGCTTTAGATGAAAGGGTTTAGCATGGGCTTGCTATTATGTACAGGACATTGCCTGCTGGGTCTCCCCTACTGAGCTGTCCCATAGACAGGGAGATGACAGTGATGTGAGGGCCATCAGTGCCTCTTCTCTTAGGAAAACAAGACTATGAGGATAGTTGAGACTATATAGATAAAGAAAAAGATATCAAGATTTAAGAGGGCTAGTAGAATGGCTAAAATCAAAAAAACTGGCAGTACCAAGTGCTGACAAGGATGTGGAGCCACTGGAACTCTCAAACGTTGCTAATGGGATTGCAAATTGGTACAACCATTTTGGAAAACTGTCTGACAGTTTCTAAGAAAGTTAAACACACACTTTCCTTTTGACCCAGCAGTTCTACTCCTAGATATGTATCAGAGAAATGAAAACATGTCCACAAGGAGCCTTGTATAAGAATGCTCATAGCAGCTTTATTCATAATTGCCAAAAACTGGACATAACCTAAATACTAATCAATAGGAGAATGGATATGAAAAAGTAGTGATAAATCCATACAACTGAATAAAAAAGGAACAAACTACTGACGCATGCAACAACATAGGTGAATTTCAAAAAAGTTACCTTGAGGAAAAGAGGCCAAACCAAAAAGAGGACATACTGTGTACATACTGTATGATTCCATTTATATGAAGTTCATGAACAGGTAAATCTAATCTATGATGATAGAAATCAGAGCAGTAGTTGCCTGAAGGTGGGGGATGACTAGAAACAGGCATGAGGAACTTTCTAGGAAAATGGAAATATTCCATATCTTGACTTGGATGATGACAACATGGATATATATATTTTGTCAAAATTTATTGAACATACTGATCTATGCATTTTACTGTATGTAAATTATCTCAATAAAGAAAAAATAAGAAATAAAAGGGCCCAAATAATTACTCCACTGAGAGCAAGAGAACAAGCTTATCAAATGCATATCAGAAAAATGCTTTCATCATGGTCCCAGATCACAGAATAAGTCAGGGATGACATCGTAGAGTACAAGGCAAGTCAGAATATGAGAAAAGTGTAGGTCATAGCAACACGGTTCGCCATGAGCAGGCAGTCCCCATGAAGGTGCAGCACTGGAGGGAGTGACCGTCGTGCAGTGGAGAGGGTGGCAGATGGCCACATTGAGGTTAAAGGCCATTGTGGCCAGAAGAAAGAGGTCCATGTCCCCAAAACCAAGAAGAAGTAGAGCTGATCCAGGCACCCTGCGCAGGAAATGGACCTACTCTGGGTCTGGATGTTCACCAGGGCCTTGGGCACGATGGCGGAGATGAAAAGAATGTCTACACAGGACCAGCTGGCGAGGAAGAAGTACATGGGTGTGTGGAGACGTGCGTTGGTGCCAATGGCCAGGATGATGAGCAAGTTCCCAGCCACAGTGACCACGTACATCCACAGGAATGGCAGGAAGAGGATGCTGCTGCCCTGGCTGCTCTGAAAGTCCCCAGAAGAGGAATTTGAAGTTGCTTGTCTGGTTTTCTCCTGCCGTGAGCCCAGAAGTCAGAGAAAGAGACCTCGAGTGACACTCACCTAAATTCTCTAAATATATTTCAGTATAGATTAGCAATATGCATGCAATTCTCCTATTTCAGAAGTTAAAGGAAAATAAATTAGTTTATTTATTGAACATCATCTCTATGCAAGGCACTGCATTAGGCACTGTGGGGAATATAACATGAAACACTGTACCGGAAACAACTTCTTTTTCTCTAACCCAAATGCCTTCTGCTGTAGTTTCTTCTCTTTCCTCTTAGTTGCTGACTAGAAAACATTTGGATGCTTTGATCAAACTATTGCAGTGTGAAGAAGGCAGGCAATGAAACAAAAATGGACATACCTGGGGAAAATCAAGTAGCTAAAAAGTACCTCAAAGGGGACATTTGGTTCAGTTCTCAACCCTGTAGACTCAGAAACCTGCATCAAGGGTGGATCCACTTTTCAGGAGTGAAGTCGCATTAACTACACTTCAGGTAGGGACAGATAAAAACCAGAAGACCAATTTATTCTGACAAATAGAACTCAAAGGTAGAACAGAGATTCTGCTGGCACTAAATCCTCTCCCTATAGATACGCTATATCAGAGAGCAGTCAGACACTTGGTACATAGTCGGATTCTACTAAGATACTTTGGAGCCCTCTACTTACCACAGAGAGAGTTTGGTGAAGGGAAACATCATGCCAAGCCTAAAGAACTACAATTCCCTCTTTCCAAGCAGGGCTTCCAAAGGCACTGCCAACATTTATCTTGGAAGATTCCTTTTTTTTTCCTGGATTTTCATGGTTGATCTACTCCTTTCTGTCCTCACCATTTTTTTTCCAAACAGAGTTTACTACAACTAATTAGCTTTCACTTACTGAGTTAAAGCCACTTACAATCCTGCCTCCCTGAGATCACCCCTAGGTCACCTTGATTTGAGTTGGAAGTTTTCCAAAATTCTTCAAAGACAGTATTACAACTAATCTCTTTATATGCTTAAACATGTGGCTGATCATATAATTTGTGGATTTTATTGGTTTAACTTTCAGAGGGCAAACTTACTTCAAAGTTCATGGAGAAGACGGCTCAGCCTACATCTAATATATCAACAATGTTCTTCTACTTTTGCATCTTCATAAAGAAATAAAATAAAATCTCATGGTGATAATAATGTAAGCTCTCTAGGGGCAGAGATTTTGGTCTTCTTTTCCCTTGCTCTATCTCCAACACCTATAATAGTTCCTAGCACAAGGTCAGTGCTCAAAATTATTTGTTGGTTGCATGGATGAATCAATGAATGAATGAATGAATGAATGAATGAATTATTTATCCCATCAAATTGGATTGATTTCCCAGACAATTCCCAGAGAACAGAATTCAACCCAACTTCTCTGTCTTAGGGTATCTTTCATCATCTAAACTTTTTCATTGTACTTATCTATTTAAGTCATATATTTTGAGATCTAATTCTTCACATCTGCAGCTTGTCAACTCCTTTGGGTTGAATTTCACCGTCTTTTAGATATGCTCCTTCTGAAGTGCATGTTTTCTCTCTCCTCTTTACATCTTTGGTGTTTGTGGTTTCAAACATGCACTTTTCTGTCAGTTCTAAATAAAATGGCATGCAGAACATTCTCCTCTCTTGAGCATGTTTACGAGGACCTGACATTGCTCAGATATATTATTTCATTTTATCTAGTTTACATATTGCAATCTCCTTTAAATTTTAATTTTTTAAATGATGTGGTTTCTCAAAACCAAGTTTAACCCTTTCTGTTGGATTTTCTCTCTCAGTGTGTCTTTTCAAGGTAACTCTCATTTTATTCTTTTCCTCTGAGATTATATTCTCAAATATTTTGATTGACTACAAAAACCAACAACTTGTTTCTGTTAGGAAGAGTCTCACAATTTTTGACAAATTGTTATTATTTCTTTAGGATCTGCCCTCCAAGAAGTCTTGATTTCTATATTTCATGTTTTCTACACCTTATAGTATGCTTTGTGCTATGAGTTTCAGAGATACTAAAATGTGCTCCTTACTATTTGGTTATGGGTGACTCATACAATTCTTACCTAAAATAGCAGTTTAGGAAGTAGGTCCACATATTCTAAAATTTGGACTTAACTTGTTTAGAATCTTCTGGGCCAGAAGATATAAAGATCGCCTTAAGAAGAGAAAGCAACATTCATACAACATTTTTGGCCCAAGACGCAGTGACAAATTATAGCATTCTCATAGCCCAGAACCATAATGCATGCTATATTATTTTAACAAAGTCTTTTAGGTTTATTCATAACAAACTAAATATGTTCCTAATTTAGCAATATATTACAATATCAAACCAACACTCCTAATTCCATTTTTACTAAAGCGTATTCTAACATGAGAAATTATTCAATGTAAATTCTTGCCCCAAAACCTTTCCAGTTGCATATCAACTCCTTAGAATATGAAAGGTCCCTAAAAAGAATCCATGGCGAAAATTCAACAACCTGAATCCATGACTCCTAGATGTGGTGACTCTCAAGTGTTTCCCAAGTTGGAACCAAACGTCCAGTTGTGTCTTGACCCGGCATCTAGACTCTGGATTTACACTCTTTCTAAAGACAAATAAGTCCAATTAGGTCTTTGATCCTTTGTAAAAATAATTTATAATTTCAGCATCTTTACATTTACCTAAATAAGAATTAACACAAACTAGTGTGATACCTTCTTTACAAAATAACAATGCTAATAATTGTGCATAGAGTGTAATTTCTCCCTTTAGTACTTTAGAAGGAAATATGAACATCACAATTATCCAAAATTTTAGATTACATTGCAACTTGATGTTTTATATTTATTTATTTTTATAATATAAAAATATAAAATAAATATTATATTAAAGTATAATAATATAAATATTTTAAAATATTTTGTGTGCTCGTGTGGAATGGCATATCTTTGGAAATTACTCCACAAGTCAGTTCAAACGGATGCAAAACTTGATGATATTCATCTTGTATGGATTCATTTTTCTGAGAATTACAACTATGATAATATAAAAATATAAGTTATTTTAAATGGTTTACACTAAAGAAAAAGTGGAAATATTAAATGTCTTGTTTTGTAGCTTATTGCTTTACTTGTCAGGTGCAAAGCCCAAGACAGGCCAAGACGCTGATTTAGAGTTGGCTGCTGTGCTGAACCAGGTAGGTAAGGTCAAGTGAGCAAAGCTACACTCATGTGATTGTAGAGAAATGCACTAAACAGTCAAAGGAAATTAAAACAAGGTTCTATTTTCCACAGAGCCAAAAATCAAGAAAAGAAAAATTGATACTGAAAATTGTAATAAGATTTCACACTGAGGAAAGGAACATTTAGCCATTGCTGATGGCAGCGTAATTAGCAAAATCCTTGTTTGAAGAATTCTTTCTCCACATTTGTTAGGAGTTACAGAAACATTCACCTCTTTGACCCTGGATTTTCTCTCTGGGGTGTTAGGACAGCTCGAGGAAGAAAAAAGGCCTAAGTTAACATACCTTCCTTAATAATTTGTTCAAAATTACAATAATGATTAAGTAACTTGTAGCATGTCCATTTCAGGGAACATGCAGTCATTAGCATGAATATCATGTAGTTTATTTTTCTAACTTAAGGTCTGTGGTTGAAAATGAAAAGGAAAAAATGCTCATCATTGTGTGTGTATTGGAAGAGAATAAATACAGATGAAAATACTTGCTTTGCTGGAATATAAAATCTTTTGTAAATATCCCTACATATTTTCTGTATTATTTCATCTTTATGCTAAAAAAGTATACTTTGAAAAACTTTATACACATGTATGTGTGTGGATGGATAGATGATGGATAGACAGCTAGTTAGATAGATAGATAGATAGATAGATAGATAGATAGATAGATAGACAGATAGATAGATAGATAGATATAAGTTTGTATGAGCTGAAAGGTGTGGAAGCTGGTTGTCAACATTGATGTCCTCGTTGAGGTGGGATATGGGAGGAGGTCAGGAGAGAGGATTTTTTTTTCTTTAGACATTTCTGTATTTTTCATTTATTATAACAAATATATATTACCCTTAGAATAGGAAAAGAAAAAATCAAATAAAGAAATTTTAAAGGTAAGGAGGGAAAAAAACAAGAACATTTTTTATTAAAAAAAATAAGAAGGAAAGCATTACTTAATACCACTAAACTGTACACTTAAAAATGGTTAAGATGATACATTTTATGTTATATGTTTTTTTACCACAATAAAAAATTTTTTGGAAAAAAAAGAAAAACATGCCTTAGGAATTTACAGCTAGCAAGTCTCTGAAGAATCCCTTTGTTTTAGTTATTGCCATTTTTCAATGGTAACAATGTTTCCATTGTGTAGTAACCCTTAGCATTAAATAGAACCACATATTACTACCTGCTGTAACAACAATGATATTCTTAGGACATTAGTCAGTATCCCCAAATCCATTTGAAACAGCTAATAGCAACATGAAGATACAAGTGCCTCTTAATTGTTGACAAACAGTCATTTCATATTTATGAGAGAAATGTAGAGATTCAAAACGGCTTCTTCTTAAGAAAAAAAAAGCCAAGGTCAGAAGAGTTAAAGATAGAACAAACCCTAAACCATCCAGCAAACAGTATGACCAGCTGAGGGATAATAATAGTAACAGACAATCTGTAGCTAGTAGTTGCTGGGTGCTAGGCATTGTTCTAAGGGCTTTACAATCATTAATTCATCTGGTCCTCAGAACACCCCATGAAGCAGGTTCTACTCTTTTCCCATTTTACAGGCAAGACACTGAGGTACTTACTGAAGTTACTCACTGAGAAAACATGAGTAACTTCCTCAAGGTTTTCCAGCTAGTAAAGGCAGGATGACGCCAAGTCCCAGGGAGGGGGTGCACGGACCTTCTCCCCTACTGGAAACTTGTACAGGCAGCCTTTCCCCTCCCTTATACTTCCACGTGCCCCTCTACATAAACTGTGCTTCCCAGATACCTTGATTTGCCCACACTGCCCTCCCACACATCCACATCCTCCCATTTTTCTGTTCCATTTAAACCCCACTTCCTCCCAGAAGTGCTCCCTGAATGCCCAAGCCATGGGCATGGCTTCTATTCTAAGCCCCTAGGGCACTTACTGCCTGTGCCCGAGTCTTCTCTCCCTGCCTGAATGTTAACTATTCAGGGCGCATCCTCAGAATGTTCCATCCTCCACATGAAGGGATCGTCAGACTGTCAGTTCACCCCTCTCAATTTAATGATGAAGAAACTTGAGACCCAGAGGGGAGAAGAGACTTGTCCAGTGTCCCACAGCTGGTCGGGACTTGAATACCTCATTCATTCCAAGAATCCTCTGACGCTCCTCGGAGCCCAACAGGGCCAGCACCCCATGGATGCTGAGCAATGTTTTCAAATGAATGGTCAAGCTGCAGAGGCTCATCTCCTGGGATGTGGCTACCAGTTCTGCAAGTATTAAAAGGCACACCGGTGGAGGAAGGGCAGATGAGAGAAAGAGAGATTGTCCTCAGGAGAAATTGATCAGCCTGGGGATTAGGTCAACCCTCCAGATGCAGGAGGGCTGCTCTGCCAAGCCAGTGAGGAGAAAGGACAGTCAAAAGGCTTCAGAACAAGGAGCAGAAATCATCTTGCCCTGGCACCAGCTGGGCAGGGACGAGATCCTGGCATCTCCGACCTGAACTGTGGGGTGACAGAGGGCAGCACCCCTGAAGTCCATCAACAGCACCTCCACACGTGTCCTCAATCCTGCTGTCCTGGGGTGAACCTGCCAGCAACTCCAGCCCCTCCTCCCTCCCTTGACTTCTGGGTTAAGTGGGACCTCTGGGGCTGAGGTGGGCCTGGGGCTCAGGGCAGGGCTTTTGGGGCCCATGCTGGGAGGCTGGGCATCTAAGTCCTCAGCTTCATTTTGCTGTTCTCCTCACAGCGGGATCAGAAGAAAGAGCTCTTCCCTGAGCAGGAGACTCACAGTGAGGTCACAGCTTTAGGGGTGATGGTTACAGCTCAGCATAGGTACAGCCAGGGAGAAGAGGCCAAGGTCCCCTTGCTGTGTGATCTTCAATAAGCCCTGCCTCTCTTTGGGCCATGAGTGCCCCCTTAGAAGGAGGCAGAAGAGTGAGCACAGTGGGCTCACACAGGTGGTCAACACACTGAAGGGTGTCTATTCCAATTCTGCGTTCCTACACCTCTTTCTTCACTCTCTCCCACTCAGTTTCTCTAGCAGGTAGGAGAGAAGAAGCCATGCTGGCTGAGGGCTGAGAGGTGCTCACGGGGCCAGTGAGTGCCGAGGCCACCATAGCTCTCCATGGAGGTTCCCAGTTAATTAACTAGTGGGTGACCTCCTCTGCTCCCAGCCTGCATGCCACTCCTCTTGCCTTTGGCCGTTCGGTAAATCTTCCTCTCCAGGGCATCCCTGCCTAAACTCTCCCCCTGCTGGAAGCAGTTCAGCCTCTGGGTATGTGGTGTGGAGGGCAGAGCCCGTTTGTGCTCACAGGGGAGTTGTCAGGCAGGGGACTTACTGGCAGGAAGCAGAATAATCAACGGCAGAAAGGCAGAGGGGTATATCAAGTGTCTGAGGGGGAGAGATAAATGAGAAGTACCCGCCAATGCATGGCAGACAGGATGGGGAAGTGGATTAAACCACAGGTAAGATTCAGAGCTCTGTATTCATCCTGGCTCTGTCTCCAAATCGCTGAATAACTTCAGGCACAGTGTTCTCTGGGCCATTTGTGACATGAGTGTTGAGTGAGATGATATCTTAGAATCACTGCGAATTGCCTGATACCAAGATAGGAAAATGAACTCTTTGACCATGTCTTATTCAGCTCTAAATGCCCTCCCTGCCTGGTGCTCAAGTACCTGCCTGGCATAGAGCAGATGCAACAGGTAAGGCTGCTGAGTAAATTATTGAAGAGAAATGAATGAGAAGTTGGCAGAGGAGGAGAGGAAGTCCTTGGGATAGAAACAGCTCATCTTGGGTTAAAACTGTGGTTGAAAAGAAGGCTATTTGGGACACCATTGAGAGAAGAATCCGGGCTGACCAGCAAGAGACTGGAGTCAAGGAATTGGATAGAAACTCCCAGGACTGAGTGTACTGGGGGCCAGCAATGGTTTCCTCTGTTTGCCACTGCCCACTCCCTGGTCTGTCAAGGCAGATGGAGACCTGAGGCAAGAGTGAGAGGAAGGAGGAGGTTGTTGGTGTTGGTGTGTACACTCCTGCATGTCTGGGAGAATCGCAGGTCTCTTCGTGTCTCTGGCATTTTTGTGTGTGGGGTCTGTGTATGGGTCTTCATGACTATGTGGCATGTATGTCTATAGATGGATCTGTGTATGTGCCTATGCCTGTGTGTAAATGACTGTAGGCGGGTGCCCATGTGTGCCCACGTGTGTATATTCCTGTCCTAGTGGGTGTGAGTGTATCTCTGGCATGTCTATGTGTCTGGATTTATCAGAATATGTCTGTGTCTGTGTGCAGGTTTGTATCCTTGTATACTTCTGTGTCTTGGTGCATCTGAGTGTTTGCTACAAGAGTGACCTTTTTCACATAGAGTTTAGGGCAGCAAGCTTCCCAGGAGATGTGGGTTCTGGTCCTAGATCCTAAGTATCTCTGCCTCATTTTGTGACCTTAAATAAAGTATTCCTATCCATTTCAAAGCAGACACCCGCCATACCAGAGCCTCACGAAAGGGCTCTGTGTCAACAACAGCAACTCAGCATCCAGAGAAACCACTCCTGTGCCAGGTGGAGCCAACATAAACTCAGTCATATATCTCTCATCACCAAAAGTGTTTCAGGGCTGGGTGGGGGAGGAAATTGACATTTATTAAGCACCTACTGTTTGCTAAGTGAATATTTATGGCTCAAAGAAGTCAAGTAACTTCTCTGAGGTTTCCCTTGTAATTTCCTTTGTACATGCTATTCCCTCTTTCTAGAATTCCCTTCCACTCCTGTCTGTCCAGTGAATGCCTTGTCCTTCAAGCTGGCCCTGCTCAAATGCCACCTCCTCTGTGAAGCCCTCTCTGACTGCCAGGAGAGCTAAGACAAAGCCCTATGCCAGGCCAAAGACCAGATAGGAACAGACAGCTAAATATTTGCCCTCAGAAGGCTCGACATCTAGTGTGGAAGATGAGCATCACAGCAGAAAAAGTCACTTTAATACCAGCAAATGAGGGCTAAGTTCCAAATGAGGGTTACAAGAGAGAGAGGAGAGAGGCATTCGTGTGGCCTGGAGAAGTCAAGGAAGGAGGTGGGGCTTCCGGAGGAGGTGGAGCCAGAGCTGCGTGTTGGGAAAGGGTAGGAAGAGCGTTTCAGGTAGGGGCAGTGAGCAGGAAAGGCATGCAAGGAAGGTATAAGCAAGAGACATGGACAAGGCCCACCTGGCTGGGGTGGAGGGAGGGGAAGCACATGGAAGCGGTTGGAGCTAAGACTGGAGAAGAATGCTGGGAACTAAGCTGGGAAGCTTTGGGTGCCAGGCTGAGCAGTTTGCACTGTACCCAATAGACAATGGGGAGACTGGCAGGGCAGTAAAGCTGAGTGGAAAGAGCATGGCTCAGGAATTCCCAGGACCCTTACAGCTCTGGCTTTCTCTCTAAGGCTGCTGTCCCAGCCCACAGGAAACACACTGAAGTCCCTGGGTGGAGATGGAGGACACTGCATCTGTCCTCAAGACCAAGGACCTCTGGCCAGGAGGGAGACCAGACCGCAGACTCTGCAGACAGTGTTGAGGCCTGGCATGCTGCCCTTCAGGTGAGAGAACCCAACAGGCCTCTGCTGTCTTCTTCCTTGTGTCCTATCTTCCTCCCCACCCCACTCCACTCTGCCTGACAGTGCTAGGGAGGACGAGGCCACGTTTTAGCTCTTCCCACCAACAAAAACATCTTCCTCTGCCTTCTCATTCTCTCTCCCCTCTACCTGAAATGCCCTTCCCACCCCCAAATCTCCATCTTGTGATCTCCTATTCATTCTTCCAACCCCAGTTCAAACCCCACCTCTTCTTTGGAATCTTCCCCAAATCAGAGAAATCACTCCTACCTTGTTCATACAGTTAGCGTAGTGCTGATTACATGGTGCTAGAAGTCAAGGACAATGGATGAGCTACCTTTATGGTCCTAGAGACCAACACAATGCCTGACCCAAAGCAGGCACTCAACAAATAGGTGTGAAGTGTACAGCTGAGCTGCTATACTGCCCCCAGGGAACTCCACACGGCCCAACTCCAGCTGGAGCACTGTGTCCAATTCCCGTTAAGAAAAACGTTGACAAAGCAGAGGGTAACCAGAATGGAAAAGGACCTGGAAATTAGGTCCTATGAGAAAGGATCTAAGGCACCAGGGGTGTTTGGGTTGGAGAAAAGATGACTTAGTAGACCTAGAATAGGTTTCTTTGAACACTGTGTGAAAAGCGGCAAGGAAAGCAGATTTGGCGTGTAGCCCCCAGTGGCCAAAACTGGAACCACTTGTAGAAGTTACAAGGAAGTAGGTCTCAGCTGGGATTAAGAAAAACATACTTAAATAACAACAGCCCTGCAGCAGTGGACTGGACCACCTCCAGCAGCATCAGGGAACAGGGAGACACCATCAGAAGTTGAGGGGAAGGGAACTAACATCTACTGAGCATCCATTCTCTGCTACGTGCTGATATATACATTAACTCATTTAATCTTGACATCAACCATGTAAGAGAATAATATCCCCATTTTGTAGATAAGGAGAGTGGAGATGAAATGAAGATGGGTCCATGTTCACGCAGCCAATCAGGATTAAAACCCAGGTGACTCTGACTCCAAAGCGAGTGCCCTTTCCTCTACATCACACAGCTGCCCACTTGGAGGTGGGGAGGGAAGGTGAGGGGCTCTGGAGAGGAGATTCCTGCACCTCAAAACAGGACGGATTGGAGAGGTGCCACGGTCCTGGCTCTTTAACACTACAGCTCTATGTTGGGGCAAAGGGTGAGATTGGCATAAGAAGATAATTTCCCTGAGATAGCCAGCGGGTGACAGTGATAGAGAAGCAGAAAAATGAAAAAATAGGATATATCTGGGGCTTCTCCTGGGAGGTAACAGGAGTGGACACTACAGTTTGCCATCATCTCTTCTCTTTCACCCTCCCTTCACCTCTGTTTTCACTCATTGCTCTTTAAAAAGCTTCATTCAATAAATATTTATGGGGTAAATTTTGTGTACAGATCACTGGGCAAGACAGTGACACAGCTCCTTCCTGCAAGGAGCTTCCTTGCTAAGAACTGACTTAGTCCGCTGTCTGGGATCTCGCCAAACCCTGGCCCTCTTTCCTGGCAAAGCAGGGATGGGCTAGGCTAGTAACAGAACATTTCTAGACACTTTGGAGCAATGAGAGAAAATAATGTGTTTTAAGAAAGAGACTGAGTGGGAGACAAAATGAGTGCATAGTTCCTGAGAAAACTGAAGTCACCTGAAACACCTTGAAGCTTTCTGTCAACCAAGGTCAGAGCAAAGACAAACTTGTCCCAGCGTCGTCTGTGGATGTTTTGCCTTCTTCATTCCATGCCACCACCAACAACCCCACACAATCTCTTCCCCCTGTCTAGAATGCCCTTCCCCTCCCACACCATATCATGTCTATGAGGCAAACCCCACAAGACCCTAAAACATCCAGTTCAAATCCCACCCCTTCTTTGAATTCTTCCCAAACTCCTCCTGGCAGAATAATTTACTCCCACTTGGTTCATAAAATTAGTAAAGTAAGAAACACTCTGCAAGCTGCTGTAGGTCAAATTTTCCAGGAGAAGCTAAGACTCGCTCATCTCCCTATTCCCCACAGTAGCTAGCACAGGGGTCAGCAAACTATGTTACACAGGCCAAATCTGACCCCCTCACACACACACACACCTGTTTTGTAAATAAAGTTCTATTGAAACACAGCCATAGCCATTCATTTACATATTGTCAATGGCTTTTTTCATACTACAAAGGCAGAGTTGAGTCATTGCAACAGCGATGATATGGCCCACAAGCCTAAAATATTTATTTTATTATCCTTTACAGAAAAGGTTTGCCAATTCCTGAGCTAGCACATAATATGTGGTGAATAAATGAATGGCAAATGCAGTGAGGTGTTTCTTGAAGAAACTTTGGTATTCAGATGGTCTGGGACCCAGGTCTGCCCCTAACTACTTGTTTGACTAAGCAAATGATGAAGATAGTTGATAGATAGATAGATGATAGATAGATAGATAGATAGATAGATAGATAGATAGATAGATAGGAGATAGATAGATAGATAGATAGATAGATAGATAGATAGATAGTTCTGAGTGCTTATTATATGCTGGACACAGTGCTAAGTATTTTAAATTTCTTATCCTTTTTATCCTCACAACCAACTCCAGGGGTAGTTACTAGTATTTTTCTCTTTTTGCCATTTAAAGAAGAAGAAACTGAGGCTCAGAGAGGTGACACCACTTCAGTGGCAGAGCCAAGACTCAAAACCAGATCTGATTTACTCCAAAGCTTGAGACTACCCACTACCCTAGAACACACTTCTGAGATTCAGTTTCTTCATAAAATTAGGATTATTGGATGAGCAATGGGATTTTCAAGCCATTTTAGCAAGCAGAAATTTTTAAACATTACATGGAACCCCAACATGCAGAAGTCTATCTAGAGGCGCCAGAATTCAGGCCCGCTGCCTCATGTCTCCCCTCAGCACCCGCACCTGCCCAGCCACTCCATGGCCCTGGCCAACCTCACGTCCGCCCCAGAGTTCCTCCTCCTCGGCCTGATGGACGGAACAGACATCCACCCGCTGTTGTTCCTGCTCTTCCTTGGCGTCTACCTCCTCAATGCCCTGGGCAACCTGAGCATGGTGGTGTTGGTGAGGTCCGACGAGGCCCTCTGCTCCCCTATGTATTACTTCTTGGGTCACCTGAGCCTCGTGGACGTCTGCTTTACCACCATCACGGTCCCCGGACTGCTGGCCGGCCTGCTCCGTCCGGGCCGGGCCGTGTCCTTCCAGGAGTGCTTTGCCCAGATGTACTTCTTCGTGGCTCTGGGCATCACGGAGAGCTACCTCCTGGCAGCCATGTCCTACGACCGCGCGGTGGCCGTCTGCCGCCCCCTGCACTACAGCGCGGTCATGACGCCCCGGCGCTGCGCGGTGCTAGTGGGGGCGTCCTGGGCGGTGGCCCACCTGCACTCGCTGCTCCACACGCTGCTCATCTCCGCGCTCTCCTACCCGCGCTCCGCCCCCGTGCGCCACTTTTTTTGTGACATGACTGTGATGCTGAGCTTGGCGATCTCGGACACGTCGGCCGTGGAGACTGCCATCTTCTCCGAGGGCCTGGCCGTGGTGCTGACCCCGCTGCTCCTCGTGTCCCTGTCCTACGCACGCATCCTCGTCGCGGTGCTGGGAGTGCGGTCGGCAGGGGGCCGGCTCCGCGCCTTCTCCACCTGCGGGGCCCACCTGGTGGTCGTGTCGCTTTTCTTCGGCTCTGTCCTCTCCGTCTATTTCCGGCCGTCGTCTGCCTACTCGGCTAGCTACGACCGCCTGGTCAGCGTGGTCTATGCGGTGGTCACACCCACCTTGAACCCTTTTATTTACAGCCTTCGCAACAAAGAGGTCAAGGGCGCCCTAAAAAGGGGGCTCAAATGGAGGGCTGCACCCCAAGAGGTGTGAGGGCAGGTCTGGATTCACTGACCAGACCTGTTCTGAATACAATCACTGTTATTGTAATCAGTAACAAGGATTACAAAAGAACCCTCTGCCCCCCTTTTATTAGCTTTCCAAAGCACTAGCAATTTTGGTCCTACAGAGTCTTATTTCTCGTCAAATTAAAAATTAGACCTGAAGCAAACGTGACAAAGTGTTTATTCATAGAGATGGGTGTATAGCAGGAAGGTGAATTCATTTCTGTATGGTTTGAATGTTCAAAATAGAGTCTACTTTTAAATTTGGGGAAGATAAAAGGAGAACAAACAGGAAAGTAGAGGGTGAATGTTGTAGCTTATGGAGAGGGAGAAAGAAGAGAGTGGCCAGCAGCAACTGGTAGATGGAGAGTGGACTCCAGAAGCAGTACAGGTCTAAGAAGGTTGGTAAAGAGGTGATTTTTGAATGTTCTGCACTGTAGCTCACACCCTTGCAGACTCCTTTTCTGGAAACTTCAGGAAAGATATAGTTATTTTTTTACATATTTTAAAAAACGTTTTTATTCTCTTTCCTAGATACTATATCCACCATTTTCATGTTAAGAATTCAAAAATACAGATAAAGATAAAATTCTCCTTGACTACAGCGCAGTGCAATCTCCTCTCCCATCCCAGTTATCGGTTCAATCAATACCTTTTCTCTCTCTCTTTCTCTTTCCTCCTCTCTTTCTCTTTCCTCCTCTCTTTCTCTCTCTCCCTTTGGTTTTGAAACATAAATACTATCATTCTCTACATATTATTCTGCAATTTTCTTTTTTCATGAAACAATACAACTAGGAGATCTTTTCTTAGCACTACAAACAAAACTTCATTTTTAACTTCGTGGTTAAAACTCTATACTGTGATGTTCCACAGTTCAATCATTCCCTTATTGATAAATATTTACGCTTTCCCAATATTTCATTATTACAATGGTGTAATGATATTCTTGGAATAAAAATAACAAAAGATAACATTTAGTGAGGAATTATTATGTGCTAGGCACAATGCTAAGTGCTTTATGAGTTTAAACCTCACAAGATTCCAGAAGGCAGAGACCATTTTACTTTTATTGCTCAAGAGAGGAAACAAGCTTAGGGAAATCAAGCTGCTTTCCCAAAGTCATAAAACTAAGAAGTTCATCTTCTTCAATGATTTGAACCTATAGCATCCTACAACTTTTTTCATCATATTGAGCAAATTTTAATAATATATAAGTTGATAAAATATGTTTGCCCATATTTTCAATTTTTTTGGTTTAAAGTTGTATATAGTATTCTCATGGTTTTAAAATTGCTCTTTAGCTGTTAATTTTTCTCCTTTTTCACTCCCGGAGTTCTTTATTTATGCCTTTTCTCTTTTTTGTCTTGTTTTACATGCCAATGTTTTATATGTTATTAATAACATTCCAAAGAACCAACATTTAGTTTGTTATTATTTTTCTATTGTTTCTTGGTTTTCGACTAGACTAATTTTTCACTTTTATATTTACTAATTCTTTCCTCCTATTTTCTTTGTGTTCATTTGGTTATACTTTTTGTAGATTCTTGAGGCTTATGTATCCTCTTGACTTCAGGAGAAGAGCACCTCTGCTAACGTCCATTGTTGAAGGAACTTGACATCTCTTCTCTTAGCTTGAACAATATATGACTTTTCTTTTGAGAAGGGAGCTGATGGCCTTCTCAGGGCTCACTGATTCTGCTAATTCTCTTAGATTCAGCCAAGTCTTCCATCTGGTTCTGGGCTCTGACCTCAGCTGCTGCTACAGGGTCCCCTCACCCCTTATCCTGACAGCATCTGGAGACACACTGGCTCTCTAGTCTCACAATAAGTGAATCAATAAACACCTGAAAAGAAAATTAAGAACTAAATAAGTTAGCAAGGGTACATGTGATGATCTTGGAGAGTGAAAAATTACGAGAGTATGTACATAATAAATTGGAAGATATCTTTCATGGAATAGATATGTTTGGCAGAAGCAAAGCACTGAAGTGGCTGAGAAATTTTTGTTTATTTCTTAGAGAGTTAGGAACTACGGCACATTCTTTGAGTTCAGTAAACACCAAGGTTAGAGAGGTATTTATTAAAAGTTGAATAATAATAATTGAGTGTCCACTACATGTCATCCTTGTGCTACATCACACCCAAGATGCAGTGGTAAACCCAAGAGGGAAATGGACCTGTCCCTAGTGACGTGCGGGGAAGCTGCCGCTGGAAGTGTTATCAGGGCTGCATTAGCAATGCTGAGCTTGGGTGCTACTAGACTTTTCATAATACTACTCATTGTCAACATTACACCCACTGTTTGAAAATATACTTTAATCTTTAGAATCACTGTCCCAGAGAAAACTGAATTGTCCACTTTGAAAAGATTCTTCTGAAGGCTCCCTTTATGTCCTGATTCCTCAGGCTATAGATGAAGGGGTTCAGCATGGGGGTCACCATAGTGTACATCACAGCCATGACAATTTCCTTAACAGTCTAATTGTTAGCTGAAGGGCACAAGTAGAGGCCAATGATCGTCCCATAGAAGAGGGACACCACGGAGAGGTGGGAGCCACAGGTGTAGAAGGCCTTGTGGACTCCCCTGGCAGAAGGGACTTTGAGGATGGAGGAGACAATCCGTGCATAGGATGAAGAGATCAACAAGAATGGAACAATAATGACAAGCCCTCCCAAGATAAATATCACCATTTCATTTATCTGAATGTCAGAGCAGGCCAACTTTAGCAGAGCTGACATGTCACAGAAAAAGTGAGGGATCACATTATCAGCACAGAAAGACAGCCGAGCCATGAGCAGGGTGTGCAACAAAGAGATGAAAGTGGTCAGCACCCAGGACAGCACCACCAGGGCGCCAGAGAGCTTGGGGCTCATGATGGTGGTGTAGTGCAGGGGGAAGCAGATGGCCACATAGCGGTCATAGGCCATGGCCACAAGGAGGAAGCTCTCCACGTCTGCAAACAGCAGGAAGAAGTACATTTGGGTCAGGCAGCCAGCATAGGGGATGGACGAGACTTGGCTTTGCATGTTCTGCAGCAACTTGGGAATGGTCACAGAGGAGAAGCAGAAGTCAGAGAAGGACAAATTGCTGAGAAACAAATACATGGGTGTGTGGAGGTGGGAGTCCAGGTGAATGAGGACGATGATGAGGAGGTTCCCCAGGATGATGGTAAGATACATTGCCAGGAACAGAGCATAGAACAGGTCTCGCTGATCTGGTTTAGTGGGAAGTCCCAGGAGGAAGAACTCTGAGATGACAGTTTGGTTTCCTATTTTCATGTTGTTTTTGTTTTACCTTTTTAACATTAAGAATAATTTATATTAAAGTATCAACCTCTATATATACAAAATCACTGCAGAATGTTCAAAAAGATATTTTGTAATTAAATACCCATAAGTCATAAGGGTTAACTTTGGTACGGCAGTCCCCTTTTATCCGGAGTTTCACTTTCCACAGTTTCAGTTAATTGTGGTCAACCAAGGACCGAAATTATTAAATGGAAAATTCCAGAAATAAACAATTCCTAAGTTTTAAATTGCGTGCTGTTCTGAGTAGCATAATGAAATCTCATGCCATCCCCGCCCTGTTCTGCCTGCGACATGAATCATCCCTTTGTCCAGTGTATCCACACTGTATACAATACCCACCCAGTGGTCACTTAGTAGCTGTCTCAGTTATCAGGTTGACTATAGAGGTATTGCAATGCTTGTGTTAAAGTAACCCTTATTTTACTTAATAATGGCCCCAAAGTGCAAGAGCAGTGATGCTGGCAATTCGGATATGCCAAAGAGAAGCTGTAAAGTGCTTCTTTTAAGTGAAAAGGTGAAAGTTCTTGACTTGATAAGGAAAGAAGAAAAAATCCTATGCTGAGGTTGCTAAGATCTATGGTAACTTTTATTACAGTATATTGTTTTCATTGTTCTATTTTATCATTAGTTATTGTTGTTAATATCTTACTGTTCCTACTTTATAAATTAAACTTTATCATAGGTATGTATGTAAAGGAAAAAACATAGTATATATAGGATTCAGTACTATCTGCAGTTTCAGGCATCCACTGGGGGTCTTCTGTGGATATCCTCTGTGGACAAGGGGGTCTATTGTATTTATTTGTCCTCTCCCACATATATAAATAAATATTTACATAAATAAAAACTATAAAAGCATATCAAGTTATGGGTCAAATTCAACCATATTCCATAATTCTATCTAGAAGAATGTTCCATAACTGCACCATGGGTGGGGTAAGATCAACATGATCTGAAAGTAGGTAGGAAGTAGTTTGAGGAAACAATTCTATGTGCCTCTAGCTTAAGGATACAAATAGTATAATATCAACCAGAAAACCAGTCACCATCCTTATCACTCAGGAATGATGATGATGATGGTGCTGGTGGTGATGATGATGATTGGATAGTAGTGATAATAAGACCACTAAAACATTTGTCAGTGCTTGCTTTTGCCAAACACTTGGATAAAAGAGTAATGTGCATTGACTCATTTACTCTTCACAGAAACCTTATGAGATAGGTACTATTATCTTCATTTTTTAGATAAAATAATTGAGATCTACACTCATTAAGTAAATTGTCCAAGGTCCCCCACCTATTAAGCAACAGGGTTGGGACTTAAGCTCAATAGTCTAGCTTCAGAGCTTGACTTTTAGCTAGGAGTGCTTCCAGGACTGGTTACACATTGCAGGTTAGAATGTATTATCGAGAGAAAGTCTTACAGATGGGAGCACAGACAGAATGAGTTCTGAGAGTAAAGCATTTTGGCGGAGAAAGTGGGACATTCACACATCTGATAATTTTTTATTCACACATCTGATAATTAAAGAGAGATACATACAGTCGGCTTCAGAGTATCCGTAAATACAACCACTTCCTCTTGGTCAGAGAACAAAGCAGGAAGGCAAGCAAAAGACCTCCCTTTGGTGTAGGTGCACAAAAGCTTTGGAAACCATGAAAAGTGAGGTGCAAATCAAC